GTCATTCCCTAGGGCTGCTCCTGAAGTCACCAAATCCAGATTGTCCCCCAAATCCGGCGCTACATTCGGGTGGCTTTGGGGACACGGGGGACACGTGGCACTGTCCCCTCTGCCCCGTTTTGGGGCTGCTCTGGATCCCACCACTCCCATTCCCATTCCCACAACCTTTTCCCGGTTATCCCGCGGGAGCCTCCGAAGGGCTCCGGGAGAGGGGGCGGGGGGGAGGAGGGGACAAGGAGCCACCTGCGGTGCCACCAACGTGTGTGGCACCTGCAGCTGCCACCAGCGCTGAGTCACAGCCTCGTGGCGGGCGCGGGAGGCCGGAATTCCATCCCAAATCCGGCGCTCGCTCCGGGGGAGGCTGCTGTTGTTGTTGTTTTCCCTGCACGTGATCCCCTAGGGATGGGGGGGTGGCAGTGCCACCCACGGGGACACGGGGGACACGGGGAGGGGTCCCTGGTGGGGTTGGGAAAAGGAGATTTTGGGTTTTTTGGTTTGTTTTGTTGGTTTTTTTTCCCCAGTGCTCAGCGTTTATCTGGGGGTTTTAAAGGGATAAAACCTGGAATGGTTTGGGGGAGGGGCGGGGGAAGAGCTTGGAGCTCATCCCGGTTCCTTGGACACTTCCAGGGATCCAGGGACAGCTCCGGGAATTCCATCCCAGCCAGGAATTCCTTCCCAAGATCCCAACCCTTTCCCAGTGGGAGCCATTCCCTGGGTCCTGTCCCTCCAGGCCTTGTCCCCAATTCCAGCTCTCCTGGAGCCCCTGCAGGGACTCTGAGCATTCCCTGCAATTTTCCCTTCTCCAGGGGAACATTCCCAGCTCTCCCAGCCTGGCTCCAGAATCATGGAATTATTTGGGTTGGAAAGAACCTTAAATCCCATCCCATTCCATGTTCAGGGACACCTCCCACTGTCCCAGGTGGATCCAACCTGGCCTTGGGCACTGCCAGGGATCCAGGGACAGCCCCAGCAAATCTGGGAATTGCAGCCCAGGCAGGAATTCCTTCCCAAGATCCCAGCCCAATCTCCCCTTTCCCAGTGGGAGCCATTCCCTGGGTCCTGTCCCTCCAGGCCTTGTCCCCAATTCCAGCTCTCCTGGAGTCCCTTCAGGCTCTGCCAGGAGCTCCCTGGATCCTTTTCCAGCTGTTTGGGATGATCCCAACCCTTGGGGGATTTGGGGAATTCCACCCTCCAGATGCTGGCCCCAGATTCTCCCTCAGGGATCGTTCCCAGCTCGCTCCCTTCCCAAAATGGTTTTTTCCAAGGCTCAGGAGCGCTCTGGTTTTTGTCACGACAGCAGAGAAATTCCACAGGGACAGGCGCTGCTGCCTTTTCCAGGAACGGCTGGAAAAACTCTCCCTGCTCCCGTGACAGCCACGGGTCATCATTCCCAGATTTTTGTCCCAAAATTCCGTATTTTTCCCACGTTTTGGTTTGGTTTTTTTTTTTTTGGGCAAATCACCGTGTTTGTTACCTTTTCATTATTTATTTCCTAAATTGTTTAATAAATTCTTTCCAATTATTTAATGGATTATTTCCTATTATTTCCTAAATTATTTCCTATTGTTTCCTAAACTATTTCCTATTATTTCCTAAATTATTGCCCATTATTTTATAAATAATTTCCTAAATTATTTCTTATTATTTTCTATTATTTCCTAAATTATTTCCTAAATTATTTCCTATTATTGTTTATTATTTCCTATTATTTCCTAAATTATTTCCCATTATTTACTAAATTAATTCCTGAATTATTTCCAATTATTTCCTATTATTTTCTAAATAATTTCCCTTTATTTCCTAAATTAATTCCTACATTATTTCCTAAATTAATTCCTACATTATTTCCTATTATTTCCTAAATTATTTCCTAAATTATTTCCTATTATTTCTTATTATTTCCAAAATTATTTAATTATTTCCGTTTTTTTATTACCAATTTTTTTTTTTTTTTTTTTTTTTTTTTTTATTTCCTGAATTTTTTTAGGGCACAAATCCCTCTCCTCACCTCGGGATTTAACAGGGGGGAATGTTTGGGATGCAATTCCCTGTCCCCACCTTCCTGGGCACTCTCCGGTGTCCCTTGTCCCCAAGGGGAGAGATGGGGGTGACAATGGTGACAATGTTGGTGTCACCACCCCCCCCCTCCCGCCCCATATCCCGATTTTCCAGGTGGGATTCCTGAAGATCCTCCACAAGTACGAGATCACCTTCCTGCTGCCCCCTGTGCCCCAGCTGGGGAAGGACATTTGTCCCCTCCCTGTCCCCAGCCCCAACCTGCGCGTCATCAGCGTCACCGCCCTGCCTGAAGGTACCGTGGTGTCCCCTCCTTGTCCCCAGTGTCCCCATCCTGGATCTTTCCCAAGTGGGGGGAGGGGTTGGGAAGGCCAACCCCTCATGGAGGTGACAATTCCTTGTTCTCAGGGATGTCCCCAAATTCCTTTATTTTGTTGTTGCTGGGGTTTTTCTCTCTTGGGGGTGTCTGTGGGTGAGGGGACACCAGAGCCTGACAGGGGACAGGGACAGCTCCAAGAGGTGCCACCCTCCACTTTGGGGACAATTGGGCACTGTCACACCCATGGGATCCGGGAGCAGGGCCTGGGGACAGCTGAGTGTCACCCTGAGCTAGGTGGCACTTTCATGGTGGCACTTTCATGAGTGTCACCCTAGGCTGGGTGGCAGTTCCCTGGGGACACGGGCTCCGCTGCGAGGACACCACAGGTCCCTGGGGCCACCTCGGTGCCATCCCAGTTGTCCCACAGCCAGTGGCTGCTGTTTCCCACACCCCTGTCCCCTCGGGGCTTTGGTGTCCCCTCCCGGCAGTGGGGACAGGGCGGGGACAGGGCTTTGGTGTCACCCGCCGCTGGCTCCACCCCAAAAAAGCATTTTAGGGTTTGTTTGGAGATTCCCAACAGGGGCTGGGATTGGGATCGGGGGAGGGGCGGGGGCAGGGGGGGATCGGGGTTGGGATTGGGACCATGATCAAGACTGGGATCAGAGCTGGGATTGGGGCTGGGATTGGGACTGGGATCGGGACTGGGATTGGGATTGGAGCTGGGATTGGGATTAGAATCGGGATCAGGATTGGAGCTGGGATTGGGATTAGAATCGGGATCAGGATTGAAGGTGGGATTGGCATTAGAGCTGGGATTGGGGTTGGGGCTGGGATCGGGATTGGAGCTGGGATTGGGATTTGGGCTAGGATCACAGTTGGAGCCAAATTCGGGATTGGAGCCGGGCTCAGGGTTGGAGCTGGGATTGGGGCCAGGGCCACTCTGGAGCAGGGGAACGGAGCCCTGGGGTGACCCACGAGCTCCGGGTGGACTGAGGGGACAGGCAGGGAATGTTCGAGAAGGGCTCAGGAAGGGCAGGGAAGGCACAGGCAGGATGGGGAGGGCACAGACAGGGTGAGGAGGGCACAAACAGGGTGAGGAGGGCACAGACAGGGTGGGGAGGGTTCAGTCAGAGTGAGGAAGGCACAGACAGGGTGAGGAGGGTTCAGGCAGGATGGGGAGGGCACAGACAGGGTGAGGAGGGCACAGACAGGGTGGGGAGGGCACAGACAGGATGAGGAGGGTTCAGGCAGGGTGAGGAAGGCTCAGGCAGGATGGGGAGGGCACAGACAGGCACTGGCAGTGTTCCAGAGGTTTCTCCACGTCCCCGGTGCAGGGCACAGCGTGCGCTGTGAGTACACGGCGCACAAGGAGGGGGTGCTGAAGGAGGAGCTGCTCCTGGCCGGACACGGCCCCAGCCACGTCAAGGTCACCGTCCAGGCCCGGGTCATGGGTAAGGGGCTCTGGGGGGGTTCTGGGGTCCCTCCCTGTCCCCTCCCCACCTCTCTCAGGCCCAGCCACTCTTCCCAGTTGTCCCAGTTCAGGCGTGGCACCGTCCCAGCTGCAGGGCACTGCTGAGGAGTTGCCCAAAATGGGTGATTTCATCCCAAAAAATGCCCAGCCCGGGGACTGAGGAGAGTCCTGGGAAAGGGTGAAGGGAGGGGGTGGGGAGTGACCCCAATATCCCTGTGCCTGGCTGGGACACCCCTTTCCCTGGGACCCCTTTGTCATTGGGACCCTCACTATAAACCCCAACACCCCCTTATTCCCCGTGTCGCCCACCCCATATCCCAGCCACCCCCAGCCCCCTGTGCCCCCTGAGGTTGTCACCACCCCTGGGCACCCAAAACCTCCTAAAAAAAGGGGCGTTCCCACCCTCCTAAAAAAGGGTGGGCAGGGAGCTGTCCCCGAGCCGTGTCCCCTGCTGTCCCCAGACCGTCACCACGGGACGCCGATGCTCCTGGACGGGGTGCGCTGTGTGGGAGCCGAGCTGGAATACGACTCGGAGCAGAGCGACTGGCACGGCTTCGACTGACCCCAAACCCCACCCCGGGGCGGGGGGGGGGTCCCCAAAGTCCCCAAAAAGAACAGGACGGTCCCCAAAGCGGGCAGAGGGGGACCCGGCTTGTCGCTGCTGCCGCTGCTTCACCCTCACCCCGCAGCCCCTTGGGTGGGGGGGGGGGTTTGGGGGGAATTGTGCCTCTTGGGGTGGGAATTTTCCTCTTCCTTGGGGTGGGGGGAGGAATTTTGCCTGTGGAATGTGGGGCGGGGAGTCCCCCACTCCAGGGTTGGGGTCATGTCCCCCGGCCGTGTCCTTGTGTTGCTGCCAGCGCCTCTTTTTTCGGGTTTTTTTTTCCTGTTTTTTCTCTGATTTTTCCTGGTTTTTTCCCTCTTTTCCCGTTTTTTAACTCGTGGTACAAGGACCAGGAGCATTTTCAGGAGGTTTTATGTGCCTATATATATATATATATATATATATATAAATATAAAGATATCTTACATGCCTTGGGGGGGTTAAAGTACAAAATCCCATCTTGGGAAGGAGGAAAATCCCACTGGGAATGGGCTGGGAGCCCAGAGGGACGGGGGACACCCCCAGGTGGATAATCCCAAAAAGTCCTGGATGGGGGATGGGGAGGGGTCATGGGGCAAATTCCAGTTAGAGGAGGGGGGGTCAGTCTGGGAGGGAATCGATGGTGCCACGTGCTGGGATGGTCGCCACAATGACAGGAGGGGTGGAAGTCGATGGTGGCATCTCCCAGAGGTGTCCACAGTGACAAGTGTCCCTCAGGTGGAGATGAAGACCATGGTGACATCTCCAGGAGGGTCTCAGCTGGACGGGAAGTCAATGGTGGCACATCCCAGGGGTGTCCCCACAGTGAAAAGGCCCCTCAGGTGGACAGGAAGTCGATGGTGGCACATCCTGGGTGGTCTCAATTGGACAGGAAGTCGATGGTGGCACATCCCAGGGCCCCTCAGTTGGAAAGGAAATCCATGGTGGCACATCCTGGGTGTGTCCCCATGGTTACAGGGGGTCTCAGCTGGAGATGACTTCAATGGTGGAGTCTCCAAAAAGGGCTCAGTTGGACAGAAAATCCATGGTGACACATCCCAGGTCCCCTCAGTTGGACTGGGAGTTGATGGTGGCATGTCCTGGATGGTCTCAGTTGGACAGGAAGTCAATGGTGGCACGTCCCTTAAGTTGGACGGGAAGTCGATGGTGGCAGGTCCTGGGGGTGAGCCCACAATGACAAAGACTCTCAGTTGGACAGGAAGTCAATGGTGGCACATCCTGGGTGGCCTGATTTGACAGGAAGTCGATGGTGGCAGGTCCCAGGTCCCCTTAGTTGGACAGGAAGTTGATGGTGGCAGGTCCTAGATCCCATCAGTTGGACAGAAAGTTGATGGTGGCACATCCTGGGTGGCCTGATTTGACAGGAAGGTGATGGTGGCACATCCCAGGTCCCCTCAGTTGGACAGGAAGTCGATGGTGGCCCTCACGCTGCGCGCCGTGCGCGTGTCCAGCGCCGTCACCTTGATCTCGGTGTCCCCAAACTGCATGCTGGTGCGGATCTCGCGCCGGCCCCGCGCCGGCCCCGCGTCCCCCGCGTCCCCCAGCTCCAGGCTGATGGTGCCACACTTCCTGACGCCGGGGTCGGTGATGTACACCACGTCATCCGTGTCACAGCAGTAGATGTTGATGATGGTCCTGCGCTGGCCCGCCCTGGCCGGGCAGTAACTCCTCTGCACCACCTCACCCAACGCCACCGACTGATCGACGCTCACGAATTTCTCAAAGATGTCGGTGCACCAGTTCTTGCCCTCCTTAACCAGCAGCTTCTCCCGCGGGTGCTTCCCCTCCACGAATTTGTTGAGGACCCCCACGCCGTAGGTAAGGGGGGAGCGGCGCACCCTCACCACGCCGGGGTCGAGGCCGAAGAGCACGGCCCCTTTGAGGATGGTCAGCCCCACGTCCTGCGGGACGATGACCCGGCAGCGGTGGCCGAAGGAAGCCTGCACCGCCCGCTGCAGCATGGCCGACTCGGCGAAGCCGCCCACCAGGAAGAGGAATTTGATGCCTTGAACCTCGGGTTTCTTCAGGAGGGTGTCTGGAGCGAGGGGTAAAAAGGGAGGTTTGGGATTGGGGCGGTGGGGAAGGGATGAGGGGGATGAGGGGCTAGGGATGAGGGGAGTCCAGGAATGGGGGATCCCAGGGACAAGGGGAGTCCCAGGGATGGAAGGGATTCCGGGGACAAGGAGGGTTCTAGGGACAGGGAAGGTCCCAGGGATGGAGGGGATTCCCAGGCACAGGAGGGTCCCAGGGATGGAGGGGGGTCCCAGGCACAATGGGATTCCAGGGATAAAAGGTTTCCAGGGGCAAGGGGGATTCAGGTGCAGGGAGAGTTCCAGGAATGGAGGATCCCAGGGACAAGGAGGGTTCCGGGACAGGGAAGGTCCCAGGCACAATGGGGTTCCAGGGTTAAAAGGTTTCCAGGGGCAAGGGGGATTCCAGGGGCAAGGGGGATTCCAGGGACAGGGAGAGTTCCAGGAATGGGGGGATCCCAGAGAAAAAGGGAGTTCCAGGGACAATGGGGATTTCAGGAATAAAAGGTTTTCAGGGACAAGGGGGTTTCCAGGGATGGGGAAGGTCCATGGGATGGAGGGGATTCCCAGGCACAGGAGGGTCCCAGGGATAGGGGCAGGCTCCCAGGGCAAAAGGGAGTCCCAAGGTGTGGGATTGTCCCAGGGATGAGGGGATCTCTCAGGCATGGGATGGTCCCAAGGATGGGGGGCTCATAAAGGAGAGGGGTGGTCCCAAGGACAGGAAGGATTCCAGGGATGAAGGGACTCCCAGGAATAGGGGTGGGGGTGTCCCAGGGACAGGAATGATCCCAGGAATGGGGGGGGGTGTGTCCCAGGGACGGGAATAATCCCAGGAATGGGGTGCTCCCAGTAACAAGTAAGGTGCCAGGAATGGGGAGCGATCCCAGGGACAGGGACAGGGACAGACACAGGGACAGGGACAGGGGCTCCCCAGGCCGCACCGATGTGCTGGATGATGTGGGTGATGGTTGGCTGGAACAGCTCGTTCATGGCCTCGGGGGACATCCGCAGCATCCCTTGGGACGACCACTTCACCAGGTTGACACTGGGGACACACAGGGCACCTGGTGGTGACCAGGAACTCCCACCTGGCCCTTCCCAGGCCCCCACCCCAAGGTCGCTCCCTCCGTGTCCCCGAGATGTCCCCGAGCCGCGTCACCGCTCACTTGCTCTTGCGGAGCGCGGTCTCCACGTTGTGGCCGCGGTGTTTGCGGTAGAAATCGATGAAGGAGAAGGGCAGGGAGATGTTGAGGGGGCTGGAGCGGCTCGGGGCGGCCGCTCGCTTCCGCGCCTCGAAGGCGATGGTCAGGTCCACCCAGGCAGCAGGACGCTTGGCCTTGAAGGTGGCGATGAAATCGTCCCCAAAGATGTGGCACAGGAGCTTCTCGAAAGCCAGGTCCACGCCCACGGCCCCGTAGGGACCTCCTGAGGGATGAGGGTGGGCTCAGGAGGTGGCCCCCGTGGCCCCATGACCGCGTTATCCCATGTTTCCATGTCTCTTATGTCCCCCACATTTCCGTGTCCCCCATCACCACGTCACTGTGGTCCCCATGTCCGCCATCCCCATGTCCCCCTATCCTCCTCCATGTCTTCATGTCCTTCCTATCCCCCATGTCCCCCTCAACACCATATCCCCACATCCCCCACATTCCCATGTCCCCTTGTCCCCCATCACCACATCTCTGTGGTCCCCATGGCTGCCACCCCCATGCCCCTGTGTCTCTTATGTCCCCCATCCTGATGTACTCATGTCCCCCATCCCCAAATCCCCCATGTCCCCGTGTCCTCCATCACCACAACCTTGTGGTCCCCACGTCTCCATGTCCTCCATGTTCCCCCCCAGCACCATATCCCTACATCCTCGTGTCACCATGCCCCCCATCCTGACGTCCTTGTCTCCCCCCATGTCCCTCTTGTCCCCCAAATCTCCGTGGCACCCCGATCACCCTGTCCCCATGTGTCCCATCCCGATGTCCTTGTGGTATCCATGTCCCATGTCCCCCACACACCCCTGTTCCCTCCACCCCAGCCCCTTTTCCCTCTCTCCCTGCTCACCCACCATCCCCATCCTCCCTGTCCCACGTTGTCCCCAAAATCCACCCCCTGTCCCTCCTTGTCCCCAAAATCCACCCCTGTCCCTCTGTCCCTTCTCTGTCCCCTCGGTCCCCTGCACCTCCCCCCCGCCGCCACCAGGTGGAGCCACAGCCCCACCCACGACCAAGGCCCCAGCCCGCATTTGAGGTCCCAGCCCCAATTTGGGGTCCCAGCCCCGATTTGGGGTCCCAGCCCGAATTTCGAGTCCCTGCCTGGGTTTAGGGTCCCAGCCCGGATTTGGTGTCCCAGCCCGAATTTGGGACTCCAGCCTGGGTTTAGGGTCCCAGCCCGGACTTGGGATCCCAACCCGGATTTGGGATCACACCCCGGATTTGGGGTCCCAGCCTGGATTTGGGGTCTTGAGAGGATCCCGGAGTGGGGGGAAAAAAGGATGGATAGAGATCCTCATCCCACCCGAGGCTTTGTAGAGCTCCTTCAGCGTCCCCTGCGGCTTCTCAATCTGGTGCACGGTCAGATCCACGGTCCCTCCTCCACAGTCGGCCACGATGTACCTGTCACCTGTGAGGGAAGGGGACAGCGACAGGGTGACACTGCTGGGTCACCCACCCGAGGCGTGGGAGCAGCGGCGGGGACACAGGGCTGAGTTTTCCCAGGGAAAATTGATCTTGAACCAAAATATCGGGAATTGGAGACACGAAGGGATGGGATGGTGGCAGGGAGACCCCACCCCTTCTGTGGGGTCAAGGACAAACTCCAATCGTGTCACCCCTTGGGTGTTTGGGGGTGATTCTGCCACCCAAGGGGACATCCAAGGGGACATCCCGGGATCTGGGAATCTCCAGTGGGATTCCCTCCCCTCCTACCTGCCTGCATCTCCGACCAGAGCTCGCCCACTCCCGACTCCACCAGGAAGGTTCGGCTGTGCCGGGATCGCCGGAGCTGCTCCCGGGCTGGGGACAGAGCCAGGGGTCAGCACTGGGGTCAGCATCCCCCCTATTCCCATGGGATCCACCCCATTTCCTTGGATCCGCCCCATTGTCCGGGATCCGCCCCATTCCCACTGTGGGGTCTGTACTGGGAGCACTGGTGTCCGCTCCCCTCCACTATGGATGGGATGATCCAGCTTTCCCGCTGCCCTGCTGGAATCCCAAAGGATCCCAAAGGATCCTAAAGGATCCCATGGGATGTCCCCGTGCCCACCCTGGGCGATGCCACCTCCGCCCCGCCCCCCACAGCTCGGGTGGGGTTTCCTCTGCTCCCCCCAATCCCAGGGACATCAAAGCCCGCCCGGAAGGGCCGGGATGAGTTGGGAAAGGTGGGGTTGTCCTGGGATATTTTTGGCACGTGGATGATTCCTCATCCTTGGGATCAGCTCGGGCAACCCCATAAATCCCATGGGGCCCCAAATCTCCATCTGGGATCACCACCAGCATATCCCAGTTCCGGGACTTGGTCCAAGCTGGGCAAACTGGGACTGTCCCAGTAAAGCCCAGGATCCCATCCATGGGGGGGATAGTCCCTGGAGGTGGCCCAGGGACACGGGGTGGTGGCCAGGGTGGCAGGAGGGGGACACGGCTTGGAGGCTTCTGGAAAAGCAGGAAAAAATGTCCTGGATTTGGGGAGGGAGGAATGGGGTCTCTGGGAATGGGGGGTGTGGGAATGGGGTTTGGGAATTGGGGGTGTGGGGTTTGGGAACTCGGGTCTCTGGGAATGGGGGCTCTCTGGGAATGGTGTCTCTAGGGACAGGAGGGTCTGGGAATGGGGGATCTCAGAATGGGGTTTCTGGGAATGGGGGTCTCTGGGAATGGGGGGTTTCTGGCAATAGGGAGTCTCTAGGAATGGGATCTCTGGCAATGGGCAGGGGTCTCTGGGGACAGGGGGTTCACTGAGAAAGGATTCTCTAGGGGAAGCAGGGTCTCTGGGCAATGGGATCTCTGGGCAATGGGGTCTCTGGGCAATGGGGTCTCTGGGCAATGGGGTCTCTGGGCAATGGGGTGTCCCTGGCAATGGGGTCTCTGGGGACAGTGGGATCTCTGACAATGGGGTTTATGGCAATTGAGGGGGGGTGTCGCTGAGGACAGAGGTGTCCCTGGCAATGGGGTCTGCAGGGATTTCCCCAGCCATGGCACTGATGGAACCCTCCAGACCTGGCACGCAGGGCCGGATCCCATTCCCAGCTCCTGGAGCCCCCGGCCCTGTCCCAGCCCCGCTCCCTGCGCCCCTCACCCTGCCGGAAGCTGGAGTCGATGGGCTGGGGGGGCTCGGCCCCGTTGGCCGGGGCCCGGCAGCTCAGCTCGATCAGTTGGTGCAGCCGCAGCTTCCGGCAGTAAATGGAGGCGGCCTCGGGCTCCAGCGCGATCAGGAGCTGCTCCGGCGTCTCCGGGGACACCAGCCCGGCCTGTGGGGACACGCGGTGACACGGAGGGGAGGGGACGGGGGATGGGGGGTCCTGGGTGTGTCCCCATCATTCCCTCAGCGCTCACACGGGTGTGGAGTTGTGGAATGCTGGAGGACTCAATGCTTGTCAAAGATGCGGATACCCAAAAAATCAACCGGCCAATCAAGCACC